AGAGTTTATTTGTGGCTTCTCTAGTGGAGCTAGTGGGGAGATGGGGACATGAGAAAACTCTTTTGGGAGTGATTGGCTTTTGGAGGTGGTGAGAGATTCCAGGATCCCCTCTTCTGGGGAAGAGAGGCTCATCTCTCTGTGTGGTTTCTTCTGAGCTTTGGGTCTTTGGTCAGCCCCTAGATGAAAAAATGACTGTTTTGGCCGGAGAATGAATCAATGAGTACTGAGTGCTCGATTAATACTGAGAGCTGTTCAAAGAGTGAAGGTGAGAACGGAGACTCCTGGATGGTGAGGATAAGGAGAAAGGAAGTGTTCCCCATGTATGAGAAGCTGGGCGGAGTCAGGGTCTCTTCAGTCTCTTATTTTTTCTTTTTTATCAACCTACCGTCTTTTTTTCTTTTCCTTGACTTCAGAGAGCAGAGTTTGGATTCTGTTGGCATCATCTGTCAAATTTGTTAACCTCAGTCACTGCAGTGTAGCTCTCTGGTAGAGCAAGATCCTGAGCCACTGTCTCCGTGACAGCAAAGTTTTGCTTTGCCTTCCACTGAAATTGGCTCAAGGCCCTTTTGTGGTCAGTAGTGTCAGGGAAAGTGGTTTGCCCTTTGAGACAAGCCATGGAAAGAAGGAAGACTGAAAAGAATACCGCAGTGTGTGCTTTTCTTGTTCTCTAAGCTACTCTTTGTTCTTCGTTGTAACCTAAACAAAATGTAAATGGATGAAAGCTAATTTCTGATCATTCTCCTTCAGTGTGGCTGCAAGAACAATGGAGGCTTTTAGTATTAATAGTTGCCGTTTGCTCTCAAATATGGAAACGTACTTGCTGTTTCCAATTAAAACACCCAGCGGTGGTGGTGATCCTGTTTGCTGCACATCATGCTTCCCGGTGTTGTAGATACGACCTGCATTTTTTTTCATTGCGTGTGATTGAATGAGCTAAGTTTAGTTCAAACGTACGTTTATCAAATTGGATGCTGTGAGGCTTCCTGTTTTGATTATTGAGCAGGAGGGTTGGGCAAGGCGATCTCCAGAGGTCCCTTCCAACTTTGGCCATTCTGTGAATCTATCTGGTGATCTTAGTGTTTTACAGGTGAAGCTGGAAGCTTGAGCAAATAAAGAGCTATGAAAGTAATTTATTTTTAAACAGCTATTGCATTTTTCTGTTCTGTGCTGTCATAAAATAAATTTCACTAGCAGTGGTGCTGTGGGGGTAATTTGCTTAAGCTGTAAGCGTATGCATAAATAGTCTGGGAAACCTGTAGTAATGGACTTCAGAAAATGCTTAATAGTAGTGTTCTTTGGTTAGTGGTCACAAGAGCTCCAATTTCCCTCCAATTTGTGTATGCCTAGTGCAGCTGCTTGTTGAACTGGTTGAACAGGGATTGTAGTAAGGCTGAAACTAGTAGATGCTCAAGCCATTGAGCAATAAGCCGTGGTTTATTTCAATTCTGCATGAAGAAAGCTGAGGGAATTTAGTTATTTTTAGTTAGTTATTAGTTAGTTATTAGTTATTTCTGGGACTTGTCGACGCACTGTGGCAGTAGTTCATCATCTCCCAGGCTGCAAGTCGTTCTTCCACTTAAGATTCAGCAGTTGGATGATGTTCTTTCTTCCTTTTTGGGGAGGGATGAGGAATTTTGTAAAACTTACTGCCAGACAACACACTTCTGGCTTTCTGAAGTGTTAAAGAATGTTAATTGTAGACATCACTGTTTTCATTGTAAGTATCCTTGAAGGTGTATTTCAGCTCTTGAACCAAAGAACTGTTGTCACGCTTCATTTTTCTTTTTCTTTTCCTGTTATTTGGGATTCCTTACTGTGCTTGACGTTTGTGGTTCCTCAGTATCCTTTGGAAATGAAGTTTGCTCAATGAGGTGTTAAACTGAATGAAAGGAAAGAGGAACACTTATTGAATGAAATACTTTGTTTTGGATGGATATAGATCAGGGCTGAAGCGTCTACTCATACATCCCTTAAAACTCGGAGTGAACAAACATTTTTATCCATTTTTAAGTCACCGCTTAGCTTTAAAAATGTAATTAACAAAATTTATCTTCGTTGTTTCTCTCCCAAAGAGAACATTACTGTGCTGAAACTCAAGTATTATTTTTAATGCCTACTCTTATTTTTTTCCTTGCTTTTTTAAAGTGTCAGGAGACTCATAAACAGCAGTTGTGTACTCAGTTTTTCTCTCTGGAGCTTTCTGAACATTGGTAGTAAAATGCCCGTGTTGAAAGGACCCCTTGGTGACCTATTCTTTGCAAGGCAAATAATTGAATCCTGTGAATGTGTTCTGAAGCACAGTTTTATAAGTTTGTAGTTGACCGCTGATCTCTGAGACACTTTCACACAGCGCATGTAAACACTCCTTACGCGTACCATGGTATGAAAATGAGACTAACCTAAATGACATTGCTATGCAAAAACGACTGTCTTTTCTGTGTATGCAGTTTATGCTCTGATTTCCAGGGAGGTGGAACAGTCAGAGAAAGTAACTCTACAGAGGGATATGCTAAAGGTATTTTTGAACTGGTAGCTCTGGTTATACTACTTAACTCTATTATCAGTTTATAATAATGCAGTAGCTAATGAAATGTGGACTTCAGAATGAGACTGTCCAAAAGGGATTTGATATGAAATGTCAGGGTTGGATTTGATCCTTACTACTTTTTTCTAGTTTGCATCTAAAAACTGAAGCTAGGCAAGTTGTTAATTTTTATCAATTGCAGTAAGAATTCTGTTTGAAGGAAAAGAAAGAAGCTGCAGAGAATGAACTAGCAAAATAGATGTTGGGTATCTTTAAAAAAAAATCTTATGTTAGCATATTACTTCTCTTGGAAAATTTGCCTTGTTGCAGAAAGTGACAACTGTCTGTAGCGTTTGCGCTTTTTAGTATATTGTATCAGTGCTTGCAGATAATGTGTTGATATTGATGGAGAATTACTCCATGCTGGCATACTTAAGGTATGAGTACAGTTTGCTTGTTAGTACCACTAAGTAGCTGTCAGTTTTGCCACATGAGTGTTGAACAGGCATATAAAAGCAATTTTTTGGTTGGCGAGTTGGAGATTAGTGGGTAATAGAAGTTTAATTAATATACTGTAGCTTTATTACTGAGTAGTAGTAATATTTTTGCTTTGGACTGGGAATTCTATGCCTTTAAGACATCTTTGAAGGATGCTGAGCGTCACAGTTTCTTAGAGTGTCTCTAAAGTAAGGATGCACTAGGGAAATGTTTTATTTCCCCTTCTTTATCTTTTAGGGCACCAACATTTTTTGACTGCAAAAACTGTAGCACAGATACAAAACTGTATCTGGGATGCATTGTTATCATGAGGATGAACTGAGCAGAAGTGGCACAGTTTGGGCAATACAAAACACACGTGAAGAGTTGTTAAAGATGCTCTTAAAAGAAGCTTGTACATGTGAAAAGTGACACCTAAGATTATTTAGTGTTATCTGATCGAGATATGAGATGACTAGCTAATCTATCTGAATAAACTTTTATTTGGTGGTGAAAGGAACGTAATTGTCACTGCCAGTCTGGGCCTGACAAATCGGACAACTGTGCTCTGAAAGTCAGAAAATCAAGCAAAGTAGTAACTAGGCAGTATCTGTGTCTTGTCTTATCTTCGTCTAGGAGCTGAGATCCCTTTGTTTTTGCAGTATAGTTTAAAAAGTAAAATGTTAATGGATGGTAGATGAGAACAAACAAGTGTCCAGGTCGCCATGAATGTCGTTCCCGGAATATCAAATTTAAAAATATGAACAAGTAGTTCCTTTAATGTCTTTGCTATTTGGTCTCTAAACTCCCTTTTCAAGAAAGTGTGATTTAGGATTCAGCAGCTGACTTGAGGTTTCAAGGGAAAATTTTTCAAGGTTTTTGTTGTTTGAATTGGTAGGGCATACTACAGGACAGCACTAGTCCTTTTAGCTTACTTTTTAATGGCGTTGTATGTAGGTTAGATGTACTAGTCCAGCTGACTCAGGACTGTAATTTACTGCAGTTGGAGATGAGATAATGCTGATGTGTTTATAATTCCTGAAAGAAGGATTTTTCTAGTAATATCAAGTTCCACATATTTTTGGTCTTTCTTTTCCTTCCCTTCTAAGGACACTGCTAAAGGTTAGGGCTGTCAGTACCTGCTAGGTTGTCAGCTTTTTGTCTTCTGTTTTTTAAAAATAATTTATTTTTAATTCAAATTCAGGTTATTCAGCCATTGGTTGCAAGACATGATCTAGTATCTTCAGATCCCAGATAATGAGGTGATATCTCACTGTTGTCTCATCCCCAGAAAAACTGCTCAGCAGATTTCAGTAAATAAGTCTGGTGGTCTTGGATAAGGGCGAGGTAAAGGATGACCAGTTTCTTGGTTTTTCAGTGAATGTGTGCTCTCTCCAGCTTTGCTGGGCAACCCAGTATTACGATCTATCTTCGTATCTGAAAAGCGGGAGTATGCCTCTCAAGAAACTGGGAGAATGACAGGAAATTGAATTTCATACAGAAGACTTCATGTGACTGGAGCCTCAACAAGGTCTGGGCAATATCTATGTAGTTACAGCTTAGATCTGAATGATGATCAAAGCTGTACTGAGGGACGCGCAACTTGTAACTTGTTGGGCAAATTAATCCAATATCTCTGTTCATATTTGGAACTACATCAGGCATTTTATGAAACAGGTGCACATTTGTCAGTAATACGAATGTTAAAAGCGTCTCTTGTCGCAGTCAGAAAGGTACAAGATGTGTTAAGGCTTTGGAATGAAGTGTTGTTTTTTGAGGGAGAGGGGAAGTGTACTGGCTTCCAGTTAATGCTCCAATCCATTATAGCTTAGAGCATGGGAGACTTGCTTCTAAGTTGTATTAAATCAGAATAACTGACTCTGTGTTTGTATTGATTAGCTTATGTTTAAAATTCAGATCTGCAAATGGTTGCCGCCACTGAAACGTTAGTGAAATAAGGTGACTTCTGCTATTTCATGTGTTTGTTTTTATTTTACAGATGACATGGCAGAACTTCTTCTTGGGGAATCCAAACTAGAACAGTTTTTGAAGGAGAATGCTCTTAAACAGAGTAGTAGCCCCCGGGGTCCCCGGCCAAAGCTGATTGACGTCAGGAAGCATCTCACTGCAGCACTTGACAGAGGAAACCTAAAGGTATGTAAGTAACTCCGAGCAAGAATTAGAAAAGTTAAAATTGACTAGAGTAGTCTGCTAGTTCTGAAAAAATTCAGAAAGTTCTTGTGTTTGGGTTTTTTCATTATTATTTTTATTTGTATATTATTCCCAGAACATCAGTGGTATGCTATTTCGTGGTTTTTTGTTCCTTCATGGATATATGTCCAGATAAATTTCTTAAATTTTCTTTTATTAGAAGAACAAGAAAATTGGTGTGGATTTCAGGGATGCTTAAGTTAGGTACTTTCAGCATGTTTTATGAAAGTTTTACTTGGTATATATAATGCACTGCAAAGAACAGTGTAATTAGATGGAAAAATGTTATAGAAATACAAAACATTTCACAAATTCCTGAAATACTCTCATAACTATTCAGGAAAGGTTTCTTTAAGTTACAGCTGGGGCGGGGGGGAAGGTAAGGAGAGGGATTTTTGTCTTCATCTTTTGATATTCTTAACCATTCTGGTCCTTCTTTGCTTAATCATTGTTGTAAGCTACTACATCACTTTATCTTGTCTGTATTCATAGCCGTCTCTTTTGAGAAATGAGAAGAACCTTGTTTTACAGTAATCTCTAACTTCCTGTGTTGCACTTCCAGTGATCTGCAAGAGTATTACTTTCTCCTCCCGTTAATCTTTTTCAAGACATTTCTCTATCCTAACACTTTGAAATTGTGCAAATGAAATATATAGACTGTGGAGCATATATTATGAAGTTTTTGAACTCCATTGTTTTGAACTGTGCTTGTGTTGTTGGGGAAAAAAAAATCACTGGAGGGGTTGTAATGATAGGTTGTCTTTAAATAGTTTGTTACCTAGCAAATGCTGGCTGTGAGGTACTTCTGCTGCATGCACAGATGAATATGTGAAAGTGTAAAATGACTAACGGAATGAGAATAAAATTACTGTTCAGTAGCTTGGCGGAGTACCATTTTGTGGATTTAGCTCCCACCCTAAGCTTCTCAAATGTTGCATAAAGATAGAATTTTGATCATTCATTGCTCTGTATTACAAGAGAGATACTGGGGGTTTCTATAGTGAACATATAAAGAAAGGGACCAAAGCATTGTCAGTTAGGCAGTTTGGTGTGTTGTCTCAGGGCAAAAAAGCTTTTTTATTCCTCTTCCTTCTAGCCAGAATTCTTACAAGAAGCTAACCTAATTATGGCCAAGTTAAACTACGTGGAAGGTGATTACAAAGAAGCTCTGAACACGTATTCCAGAGTTGGAGTAGATGACTTGCAGCTAGCTGCAGTGCCACCCTACAGGTTAAGGATGATTGCTGAAGCATATTCTACTAAAGGTGAGATTGCTCTTTACACAATAAGATTGCATAAATTAATGAGGAAGTAATTTTTAAAAAGTTAATTGCCTAATGTTAAAGAACTTTTTGGTACCCTGTTGATGATACGCAAGCCAAAAATACTGAATTTGCGGATAATTAAGAGAACAGCTTGGCCCCTTTAAATTATTCAGAGTTCGTGCTAGGTTGGCAAGACTCTTAACCTCTATTAGTATTTCCATTTTAACCCTGCCACCACGCAATGCAATTTTATAATGTTTGTGTTGAAAAGTCCTTCAGTATCTAAATATCATGATATATGTGGCTAGATACTAATAAATAGTATTAACTCTATTCCTGAAAGTTAAGAGTTACAAGAGTGGTGCAGTGTGGCACACGCGTGTATTGCAACGGCTGTGGACAGAACTGAAGAACCACGATTTACTGCACCTTTTACCAAATGTTAAAATGCTTAAGCTAAATTTAAATTGCTACTTTATTTAATATTGTTATTACTGTTTTGCTCAATTAAGCTACTTAAAGCAATGCTTTTCTTGTGGAGTTTTATTTTTGGCTTTATCTTTGCTTTTTTTTTTTTCAGAAAGTGACATTTATTTTTGAAATTTTTATTATTGTGTTTGTTTTTCTGAATGGTCTAGTATAGCGGAAACTGTAACGCTGGCTTTGTGTCTGAAGGTGGCACTGCCACTTCAGTTTAGAAAACTCATTAATGGGCTGTAAGCTGGGTCAGGGTTTTCGGGAAAGTGTCAGTTTATAAGCTGTGGGTTTATTCAAATTTACTGTGCCTAAATATATTTGATTTGGCCTGCTGTGTTAAAGGTTGGATTTGGTGCGCATGCATACTTTTTTTTTTTTTGTTACGGCAAGAGGCACGCATAGCAGCATAGTCAGCAAACGCAATTTAGAAGAGATTTCAGTAGCATCCACTGACAAGTTGGTCAAGGATCGTTTCTAACGTTAATCTTAGAGGAGATTGACTGTTTTCCACCAACTCAGTCCCCTAGTGCAAGTCTGATCAGGAAGAAGCATTCTGGTTAGAGATGTCAGGGAAATAAGAGTGTTTATTGGCAGCAGGGACAAAAGGACACTTCCTAAATCTGAGCAGTGTTTAGATCAAAATGGGAGGGGGAGCACACGGGACTTGTTATATATGACATAAGCTTGCCCAAGTCTGTCAAGCAGCAGCTCTCTTTTGAGGTGATGTCTGATATGGGCAGATTTCGGCCTTTTTGTTTGGCCTCTGTGAGGACGTCTGAATCTGTTGTGCTTGTTCAGTGAAAATGCGCTCTTGAACTTGGTCCGCTTTAAGTGCCTAAATTTGCTTATATCTCCAAGGAACCCCAGTAATTTAGTTGAATCTTTTCCCCGAGCTTAACTTTTTCGGCTCTGTTTTACACTTGACCTCTAAAGAATATACGGCAGTTGAAACATAAAGGCACCGACTTTGCAGAAAGGATTAGTGCTGTTAATTTTACTTAGGGTAAGAGAAATGCATCTCTCTACAAAACAGTAAAATATATATCTTGTCTTAATTTCTTTGCTCCCCTGGAATGATTTGTAGGCCTGTTTTTAAAAGCAAAGAAACAAAAAAACCTTTCCACTGTTGCAGGGTGTGAGAATGCCATCTTCTGTGGGCTCTAGAATAAGGTGGAGGTCCCAGAGCAGTCTTAAAATTAACATTCAAAGTCGAGAAACATTTAGACTAATCCACAGATAAGTAGTATATAGTAATACGCAGGAGAATAGTTAAATCTCCTCTCCTCCTCTCTCTCCTCCCCGACCCTGGATCTTCTTTCTGCTCATGAGACTGGGTGATCAAACTTGCCGAAGATTTTCTTCGGAGGTGATTGGAGGCTTGCAGTTATTATCCAACTGAACATGAGCTATTCTTACAGAGAATTTGTGTTTCACTGGAATTGTATTTCTGCTTGCAGGTTCAAGGATAACATTAGCATATAGGGATATGACTTTTCTGAGCATTTAGACTCTATTTCTTTGGTCTTGAACAAATCACCATAGTACTAAGAAATGAGGAATTTTGTGCACTGCTTGTTTGCAAGCATCAGCCCAGCTGATAAACGTTCAGTGCAGCAGTCAGCAGAGAGGCAGTAAAAATACCCCTGTTTCCGTTGCCTCGTTTTAGTCCAATTTAGGGGCAAATTCACCATGAGTGGGCTTGCGATCTGCAGAGAATTTGTATCCTGTTGTGTAGTGGCCGGACTGATGAGCTCACCTCAGACAAGGGGTAGGAGAAGTAACTGATGGTTGTTGTATCTTAGTTGCTATGGAAAATCTTTCCTTATTTAAGATAGGACCACCTCCAAATGCTTACCTTCTTGCTTGGAGGTTTTCATTCTGTAGCAGAGGTGGTAGCTTGAGTAGGATGCTTCAGTTGACGTGTTGATTCTTCTACGGTTGTTACATGGCACTTAAATGAGCGTGTTATACTGTAACCCTAGACTAGCCTTTACAAGTGATCTGCTTTCCACGTGTGTATCCCATTTTCCTCTTTGTGACTATACAAAATGTATTTTAATTGTGGGGAGAGGAAATGGAATCGGAGCCTGACAGAGGAATTGAGACCCCAAAACACTTGCTGAACTGTGGTGTTGGGCAGGTGTGCATATATGTGTGTGTGTGTGCGTATGTATGTATATATATAAATTTATGTTGCTATAAAGTAAGACTTGACAAAAAAAAATCAAAGTGTGACGCTTATTACTGTCTCTTTGGAGTCAGTCGGAGTGAGCATATCTGAATGAAGTATCCATCAAGTTGGTTGTAAGCCTCACTGCAAAATGCTCATTGCATGCGATAGGTGACATCAGAATATTCTGGCTCTCCATCCAGAAGGTGAAACTTCGGTGTTTTCACACCCCCACAGTCTTCAACTTGGAATAATTCTGTCGTCAAACTAACAAACAAAAGCCAGCTACTGGCTGTAATGCATTCACAAAGAACCTGAATGTTTTTTATTACATAACAAAGGATATACATATATATCATAAAAGGATGCTTTTGGGTCTCAGTGCTGAGGATGGCATGTTTAGAAGGATATAAGTGAGACATAATAGTGACTGATAATAAATCACTCAAAGGATTCAAAGCTATTTAAATCCAGCAAGGAAGATTAAGTGATTATTAAATAATTGAAAACTCTGAGAAAACCCTAGCAAACTGCCTTTGAAATCTTTTCTGTTTCCTTTGACTCTTTGGCAGCTTGTAGTGTGCAGTTGCATGAACTTGTGAATTGTGGAGGCCTCAGTACCCATGCAGTTGCTGGAAATGAGATGTCTGTGAATGGAGGTGCCAATGTATTTCAAGAGGGTGTGAGCTGGGAAGAAAAATGCACTTAGAAGAAGGATGTTGTTGGGGAGATGGGCAAGTTTGCTTGGCTCTACACGTTTTGTGTCTTCTTGTCACAGCATGTAGCTTAGGCATGGGTATCTGTTGTTAGAGCTGTCCCGTGCAGCAAGAGTGAAGCTAAGAAATGAGGGTGGGTTGGGGCAGAGAGGAAGAGGGAAGGATAAACTTCAGATCATGGTGGCAAATACTGGCTCAAAGTAAAGTTTGGAAGGGTCTTGCACATTTCTGACTGTTGCACATCTTTGATATTTAAGTATCTGTATAGGAATGACTACCTTTTGATAAGTAGAGCAGATTGCCCTGTTAGGAGAGGTTATTTTTTATTTTTTCATTGGTTTACTTTCTTTACTAGATCACTTTAACTAGCAATGCTCAATTCTGAGACTGAAGGAAGATCCTAACGTATGAAGAATGGAAATGAGACAAAGTATGAATCCATAAAAAAGTACCTAAACGCTTTTTATGCATATGGGTGACCTTCCCCCTCCCCCCCCAAGTTAGACATGCCAATTTAGCTCCAATTTTCCATATTTCTTCCTTATCCTACCAGACCGACCAGAAAAAATCTGTATAGCACTGCTATCATATAGAAACATACATTGTTTCTATAGTTTTAATAGTGGCTGAACCTAGTATTCTCTTAGGGATGTGGCCTCTGGGAACAGGGCAATTAAGTCTCTACAAGTCTTCAGCAGTATATGAATGAGATAATACAATGGAAAGCACACAAAGGCATTATTCAAATACCATGCATGGCAGTATCTGTTATGTTTCTAAGCAATTTTTGTTTGCTTATGGAAGCAGAGATGAGATGCTTGCACAGTGGGATACTGAGCTGTTAATTTGGGGAGGTGCAGCTTGTCAGTAACACTCAAGTAACAAGTATATATTTAACCGGGAAATAAGCTTATTGAAATCTTAGGTAACATGATTCTGGTACTGCTGCATAAGTGAAAAGATATAATTGAAATATGAATTTATAATACTTTTCATTACAAATTAGTGAATCTCTCTCCAGATGCTCAGAGATGAGAACAGCAATTTGAAGTTCTTAAAACCTACAACTTAGTAAACTTTTGATTTTAGTTAAGAAATAGTGTTCATATTTACTATATTGTAGTAGATGAGTAGCCCAGTGCAGCCATCTGACAGGATGGCTATGTTGCGTTACGGTGACACAGTCTTGCTGAGTATGTGAGGGATGTCATATGTAAGTTGGACTGTGACATTACAGGATTGCAGCCTTATTGCTACAGGCTGTTTCACGTCTCATGTTGCCTGTTCAAATAACTGTGTTTATATTTAGATGATGTGTGTTGAGAAAGGTGAGACTGTTTTTACTGCTGCTGACCCATATTCAAATTTAATGTTGCATTTGCCAAGTTAAATGATTGGCTATTAATTAGTTCTATTTACAGAAACATGCAAATGCCCGTTAGGTTCAGTGAAAGTGTCGCGTGAACGTGAATAGTTACTTTGCAGTTAGCAAAAGATGCTGCACTTAACTTTAATCATACACGATTGTAATGAGATCATCTGCATTGCTAGCCTGTGTCAGCAGACACCAAGCGGATCTTCATGGACGAATGCTAAATGAAAGCTGTTTTAGTAATAATGCCAGAGATCTCTAGCCT